TCAGCAGATTAAAGAAATGCGTGTTTTGTGCTTTATTTTTACTGAGCAGTGAGTATGACGGCAGAGGATGACAGGGTAAAACAAGCCACATCCTGGCTTTGTAGAAGTTCACAGTCTGTCTAGGGAGTAAAAAAGTGGGGGTGCAATATCAGGACAGTGTATTAGATACATATTGTTAATATTGTGGTATCAGTCAGGACCCTAGGAGGAAGCAGCTGACATACTCAAGCTGATTCTTTGAACAGAGTTTAAGAAAGAAGCTATTTACAATGTTGGGGGTGGGGTTTAAGGAAAAGGACAGAGGATAATGTGGTGCATGAAAAGAATGGCCAGAGAACAAGTGCTGGAACACAGACATCACTGTCTCCACAGAGTCAGCTGGCAGGAACCATGACCTTAGAGCAGGGTGCAAGCAACTTTCTGCCAATGTGGCAGAGAGGAATGGGGACCTTTGGCTTTGCTCTCCTTCTGCCCCTGATCGTCTAGCTGTGAAGGAAGACAAACTCAAGTCAGAGGACGAAGGTTTCCATTAATGCAATATTGACAGTCAAGATCAAGAGACACAAAACAGTTCAGAGAATGACAGAGTGGGTTTGGGGGCCTAAGAAATGATACTCAATACAAATGCCACTTGTTCTATAATGTCATTAATTTTTTTTAGATAACCTCCACTAAATATTTTTTTCAATCTTGACTTTTAAAACAAATAAATGAGGATTAGAAAGTGTGAAGTTGTATGGAATAGCAACTAAAGTGTCTAAATAAATATTCACTAGTGCAACAAGACACCTCTGGTTTATCATCAGGTTTGTATGTTGGGATTTATACTCAGGGAAATATTGGTGCTTTGTAGAGACATAACTCATGCCCTGTATAAATGGGCCTAAGAGACAAGATTGTGAAGAAAAACTGCCTGTAGAGACATTCTTAAACATGAGTAAGAGTAGTAAAGTAGATGAAGGTTAAAAAAAAAAAGGGAAAATGTTGCAAAGTATAGGGAACAGAAAAAAAGTAAGTGATTATAGCATTGTGCCAGGATTTAAAGTAATTGGTTAAATTTGAAACAGAGGACAAGAGCAATGAGAAAAATAATAGTATGAGTAGTTACAGATGGGTTAAAGATCATGTACTTTATAGTTCATGATGTTTAGGTTTTATGGTTCATAATAACAATTGAACATGATTGTTTTAGGTGAAAATCTGAGATTGAATATTAAGAGAGATCATTTCAGAGACACAGTGTGATTGCACATTATTAAATCCTAATTCTTGCTACTGAACATCACTTCAGAGGTCTAAGCAAACATTGGTTGGCATTTTATTTTGTAGTAGATCACAGTCATGAAGAGATACCTTGCTGGTCAAAATGTTGAGAATAACATAATGAGTGCTCAGCCCAAAATGTGACATCTGTAGATGAAATTCTAATTGGTCTTATTAAATAAAAAGCATGGAGCCAAATATAGGGGTCAAAGCCTTAAATCAGGGAAATAGAGAAAACCACCAGCCAACCTTACCTCATCAACTCTGCAACTTCCAAATGTGAGTTACTTCCTGTCTATACCCATGCCTTTATTGCCTTGCTGTTCTGCCTTTTCATTAGCTCTAAGCCCAGCTGAATCACTTCCTCATCACTGCCTGTCTATACAGACCTCCAGGTCTCTATGGTTGGTACTAGGATTAAAGACATGTGTCACCATGCTTGACTCTCTTCCCTAGTGTGGCCTTGAACACACAGAGATCTTGCCTGCTAAGGGATAGGATTAAAAGCATGTGATACTGCTGCCTGACTTCTATGTTCACTTAAAATGGCTGGCCTTTCCCCCCCTGATTTCCAGGCAAGCTTTATTTATTAAAGCACAAATAAAATAGCACCACATTTCAGCACAAATGAAATATCACCATAGACATCTATATGTTCCATGTCATATACACACCAAAGCCCAGGGAATAACATTTTGTGGTATTTTTAATCACAGGATGAGACAAGTAACTAATGTATGGAGGATGGGGAAGAATGCTATGAGATGCTATTTTCTGGATGTAACTTGGCTATGGTAATCATAAATTCACATTGGCTGTTATGTGCAAAAGACCTACACAAGAACAAGCCAGCCAAATTCTTGGCATAGATGATGTAAAAGATCTCTAGGCTGTATTCCTCACTAAGACTCTAATGGTAGTGGACAATTTCTGGGGGTAGGGTGGGGGAGAATCATTATCTATTGAGGATATTGTCATTAAAAGATTTTCCATGCTTAAATGGATGACCCCATGTCCAGGCACAATGGACAGCACTAACTGAACTTGGTAGGATATCTCTGCCCAAACAATGTGGATTTGGGAGATTGATGTATTAGAGAGATATAGAGGGAGTTGAAGACAGCAAATGAGGGGTGGATATGATCATATTCCATGGTACACATGTACAAAATTCTCAAAAATAAATACAAATAAAAAACAAATCAAAAATCAAACAAACTTTATGTCCACTCTCTTAGCACTTTTTTCAAAAATATAATATACACAAAAGTAATCATAATGTTGTACAATAATATTTGAACTTATTTATCCAGTACGACTAAAGTATTTTATTCTTTGACTAAAATCTCCTCAACACACCACCATTCAAACCCAGTGAACAACATTTTATTCTCTTCTTTTATAAGATCAAGAATATTTTAGATTCCAGTTAAGTCATGAAATATTTGTCTTTCTGTGCCTCATTTCTCTACAAAGCACAATTTCCTCTGAATTCACTCAAGTTGTTGCAATGTCTTCTTTTCCTTATTTTGATGTTTAAATAGAATTTTCTTGTATGTATATCAGTCAAACTTTCTTTTAATCACTTGTTTATGAATAATGGTTTCATTTACATCTTGGATATTGAGAATAATAACACAAAAGTACAGATGTCTCATCAACTACTGAAAAAATTTTATTTTGATATACATCAGCAGTGAGGTGATGACATGTCAAAATAACTTCTGTATAACCAAAGAAATAATGAAAAGAATAATGAGGCTACCTACAAAAAAGGTGAAAATAGTTATAAACTATGTTTGAAAAGATAATAAAAACAAAATACTTGAATAATTCAAGTGAGTAGCAGTAAGCATATAGCAAAAAAAGAGAAAGAAAATAAAATAAAAAAAACAAAGGATCAGGATAGATATTTCTAAAAAGAAGGCATAAAATGTCCTTTATAGTTATAATTACATACATAATATACAAAATTTTCTACTTGAAGTTTTATAAAATAAAACAACAGCAGTAATTTTAGTAGAAGACTAAAATTAGGACCACATTATAAATGCAATATTAAAAATTATTTAGATTCTAAAACTGCAGTTTAAAATATTTAGTTGATTTGTGTCAAGGAAAGAATGAAAAAAGAATGAAGATACATTTTTCTGGATTCTAGAAATTAATAGAAAATTTACAGCCATTTCAGTAGTGTTTCAATCTGATCCACATTAATAACCACAGAGATAATAACTGAGTGCTTAACATACATGTACAATGAGTATTTAGCCTTGATTTAGTAAAAAAAAAATGTGAGGCTAATGTGGAAAATCTAATTTGAATGTGTGTCAAAGATGCCCTTCAGGGAAAGACTGGACAGAAGAAACACATGTAAAAGCTCATAAAGTTAGGGAGTTGGTCCTGGCTAAAATAACTGAAAATTTTCAGAATTTGAAACATCCCATGTTCTCAATTTAAGAAACACAATGACCTCAAAACAGAATAAATAGAATGGAATTTTAAAAATATTATGATAAAGCAAGAAATTTAAAGGAAAATATTAACCTTAAAATAGAACTATATTGCCATGAGGTGGTGGCACAAGCCTTTAATCCCAGCACTCAAGAGGCAGAGGCAGGCAGATCTCTGAGTTTGAGGCCAACCTGGTCTACAGAATGAGTTCCAGGACAGCCAGGACTGCTTCACAGAGAAACCCTATCTCAAAAAACCTGAAAAACCAATAAATAAATAAACGATAGAAACACATAGGAAAGAGAGTGGTTCTCCTCACAAAATAATGTACCACAAAAGGATATGTCCAAATTGCAATCAGAGAATACAATATAGAATCTCACATTTTAAAAATAAGATTAAATAAAATCCTTGGTTATCACTGAAAACATGAAAGGATAGATTTCTCTTAAAAATAGCATTTTCAACATTATCTAGAAAAATAAAGACTATGTCAGCTTTGGTCGAACGTGGCCAAATGATAGCAGAACTTGGCAGCATCATTGGTTTGGAATTGTTTTTTCATGAGTTAGTGATCCAAGATTGAAGTTGAAGCTGGCATCAAGTTTCTAGAGAGCTGAAAAAGCCAGGTAATGTGTAGCAATATCAGCATTTCTACAAAGAGGCCCTAAGAGGATGCTATATGAACATGTGAAAGTGATTCTAAGTTGTAACAGAATCCCACGAGATGTTGGGAACTCTGGAACCACAGGAATTTCACCAGGGAAGCTGCATGCATATAGTTCAGCTAGACCATGAGAGACAATGCATGTGCTACAAGTGTCAGTGATGGAGTGGCAAGGGGACCCAAGTCCTTAGTATCCCAGATGTTGCAACATGTGTTCAATGTGCCAGATATAGAGCTACGGGACTTCTATTTACTGGCTTTTACTCTTGTATTGGTTGCATCACTTTTTCCTATGTCTCATTTCTCAATTTGGGGTGAGAGTATTTTTTTTTTCACCGTATATTGGGAGTATTGAGCATGTTTTGATTTTTACAAGGGCTTACAGTTATGAGTCTGCCTTAAGATGCTGAAGAGACTTGGGACTTTGGATTTGAACAGTAGTGACAGTGTTAAAAATATAGGACCTTTTAGAGGTAGACTGAGGGAATTTTTTGTTATTAGAGAAAAATTAGACGTTAGGGACCAAAGGTGGAATATTACGATTTAAAGTAATGTGTTTGAATATTAAGGTCAAGGAGTAGAATTGTGATACTTAATCGTCTTTTCCAACTTAAAGGTCCTGAGAATCACCATGGAAACAGACATCTGGGGAGGTATCTGCCTGCACAAATTTAACTTGAAGAGGAAGCTGCATCCTGAAGACAGCTGGCATAATCCTACAGGCTGGGGTCCTGGACTGCAAACAAAAATAAAAGGGAAATGGACATAGCCTTCATCTCTTTCTGCTTCCTGACTTCGAACAAGATAGCATTAGCTGTCTCAAGCTCCAGTCCCCATGGCTTTCTCACCACAATGGACTGTGTCCTCAAAGTGTAAGCAAAATTAAACCCTTCTCCCTTAAAAAGCATGGTTTCAATTTTCTTTGACTATAACCCAATAACAGGATTGCTGAACCATACATAAGTTCTCATTGCAATATTATACGTTGAGGAAATTGCTCTTTCCCATACTGAAATGGAAAAGGAAGAAGGGGGAGCAGGAAAGAAGGAGAAAATAGGAAGAGAGCAAGAGAAAGGTTAAGAGGGTAAAGAAAACATGAGAGGAATGGAAAAAATTGTCCACAAGTAGTACTGGGGAGATGATAGGTATCGTATCAGGTGTTTACAATTTAATTTTTGCAATAGTGACAGGAGTAAATTACATAGTCAATGATGTGCTGTCTTTATGGTACCAATGATAACACAGTTAAACTGTTAACAAAAAGACAGCTGCAGTTTCACACGAGTGAGCCCAGTGGGCTTTCTTGAATTCTAAGTCTTATCTGTTAAAAATCCCATGCAGAATCTTGGGGGAGAAAGACATCCACGGCTAGGCCCCAGTGGAGCACC